TTTTTTTAACTCTAAAACATGAAATGTGGAGTTATCTGCTTTTGTCAAAAAACGACTGTTGGAGTTATCTGCTTTTGCTATAAAACTAACTTTTAATATGTAAAACAAACATACTTTCAATGAACTTTAATTTAGTAAATTACCTGTATTTGTTTAAGTTATTATTACTTAATCAAAACAACCCAACTGCAGTTTGATTGATATTACTTGGAATGCACAATAAAAAAAAAAAACGTGATTTCTGAAAAACAATAAAAATGGAGTTATCGGAACTCTTCATATATATACTTTATTAAAAGTGTTATTTTTGATACTTATTTCTTTAAATAGGTCAATTTCTTTTATAAATGTAATTAGTAATCTAGTGAATTGTACATTTGATAAAGCCTTATTTAGGTAAATCAATTAAAAAAAAATTGTTTTACATTGAGTGCACCATATATAGATTGCTGTAATTCTGGTCAAACATTCTTTTGTTCATCCCATAGAAGCCATCTGTTGCTAGTTATGATGATGCTGATGAAGAGAATGAAGATGAAGATTCTGACATATTTGGAGGCTCTGATAAGGATGAAGATGAGCTCAAAAAGGTTAATAGCTTTGTATTTTCTTAGCACCTCTGACATACTTAGCAAATTAGTATTATGAGACGTTATCTTACAAAATTGTGCAAACTAAAACTTAACATTAGGTTTCTTGCATCTCATGTCTTTCAGGAGGACACTGGTCTGCCATCTTTTGCTGATGAACTAGCAGCCAGAATCAAGGGAGAGACTCCAAATAAGCCAGAAGCAGATCGCACATGTATGGTCATGTATGGTCATGAACAACATATGAATTTTATTGTTTAACATCTTTTCATCTTTCAATTCAGTTAGATTTCTTTCTCAAGTTTATCTGTGTGCATGCACTTGTTTGTTCTCAAGCATTGTCATCAGGCCCATCCATCACCCAGAAGAAGAGTAAAACAAAGAAAGAGTCAAAACCTCAGGGTATGAGCGACTGTGTGTTCACTTCATATAGCATGTGCTTATCAGATCATGCTGCCAAATGCACACTACCGTTCGAAAGTTTGGGGTCGGTATTTTTTCCCCCCAGGGTTCTTGAAAGAAGTCTCTTATGATCACCAGAGCTTCATTTATTTGATCAAAAAATATAGTGAAAACATATGACTATTTTAATATATTTTTTATTTTTTTCTTGTCATAGCAAAGCTTTAATGCACAAATTGAATGTATTCTTTCTTATTAAAATATTACATTCAAAAATAAATAATAATACTGACTCCATACTTTTGTATGGTAGTGTATGTACATATAAAAATCAGCAGATGACTGTATCTGCATTGTTTTATTGAAAACAACTACACTGTTATTTAGCATTTTTGAAACTTCTGGTATAGTTGTATCATAATTTATTTTCAGAAGTGGATATACAGTATATATTTTCAGTATACTGTAGCTAGTAAAATAATTGTCATGTATTTTATGTATATGTAATTACAGTGGAGGATGATCAGGATGAGATGTTCAAACCACCAAAAATGGAAGATGAGGAATATTCTCCATTCGGTGGAAAGGGTGGACTTTTTAGTGGAGGCAAAGGCCTGTTTGATGATGACGATGAGGTTGGTAAATAATAATGTAGTATCATACAAGAGCATACAAGTACATCTAGAAAAAGACATGGTAGTAATCTGTGAAAGTCAGTTCATAGTATTTGTTCTTTAGGGAGATCTGTTTTCTGATGCACCCAAAACCGAGCCGATGGAAAAGGAAAAGACTGTAATCCAGGCAACAGGTAAGACTTAGTAATTGTCACTCACTCTTCTCAGATCTAATTCTGTTGCCCATTTAAAGTCAGATGTAGGCCAGTCCTACTTGATAATTCAGTGATGCAAGCTCACATTCAGATGCATAGAAACAAGTCCTGCACTACATTTTTTTTGTGATTTCACAAAGTGATTTCACTTTGTTGTACATCACAGTATAGAAGAAAAGATCTGTCACTACTTCCGTTACATCACAATTTTTATACTGATTGGTCATTTGCGCAATACTGTAGTCAAATATGATCCATTGTTCCAACCAACCGATTTCCTGCTTTCAGTATGCAATCTCTTTCTTCTCACAAAAAAAACAACATTTATTTCTATTTATTTATGTAGTTTGTAAATAATACCGGGTTGACTGGGAAAAATTTAATAATTATTTAATTTATATTTATTTATGTATTTTGTAAATAGCCATTTATAATAACTGTCTGACTGAAAAAAAACTCATACTAAAAAAAAAAAAAACTGTGTGTATTTATGTGTTTTATAAATAGCCATTTAACAAGCGTTGTGTCAGGATTTTATAAAAAAATTTTAACTATAATGACTCAATGGCTGTACAGTATCATTTTCTTACTCAGTTTTCTCTTTGTACATTCTGAAACCCACCATGTGTTGACATATAAAACTCCTTTACATACTTGTCATCTTATCTTTTTCATTTGCTTTTGTAGAGCCCCCTAAAACTAAGAAAATACCCACTGGTGCTGTCTCCATCTTTCCTGGTAAGCATTAACTGCATTCAATTCGCATACCCGCACACTGTTTGACATAAAAGTTTTCTGTAGTAACTAATGAGTAAGATTTCTTCATGCCCCTTACCCACAGAAAACAAACTTTTTGGCTCACCAAATGATTCAGACTCACTAGAGAGCAAAGGCAGTAAGAGTCCAGTGAAGCCCAAAGTGCAGGCAGCTCCAAAGCGTGCCTCGGTGGGAGGTGGGCTGTTTGATGAGGATGACGATGATGATGACTTCTTCAGTGGGAAGACGCCTAACAAATCCACCCCTGGTACATATCTAACATTTGCCCTGAGGTATGACAACTGACTGTCTTTTTGGGAAAGCGTAAATGTGTATCTTTGTGATCAGGACAAGAGAAGCAAATGCCAAAGAAGACTGTAGACCTGTTTGGAGAAGCTGATGAGGAGGAGGATGATGATGAAGCCAGTGCAGCTCTTCCCCAACAGGACAAAAGAGCCGAGGGGGAGGAGGAGACACGTCCTCCAGAGAAAAAGGTCTGCTTTTTAATCATCATTATGATTGTTGTTGTTGGTTATATACCGATTGAGCTTGCTTGCAGCCTCCTGTTGGTGCCATTTCAATGTTTGGGCCCGGCACTAAAAATATACTGGAGGGTCTGAAGAAACGCCGGCCTTCCACCAGTGAAGAGTCTGCCAAGTCTGAAGAGGTAAAAAACTTTCAGTCTCTCTGTTGTATTAATACCTGCTGTGTTCATTGTTATTGATTGTTTTTGCATTGTTTCTGCAGAGTGGACCTCCACCTGAAGCAGTCAAATCTTCACCTGCACTGGGAGCATCTGAGAAAACGCATAGCAAGAGTCTGTTCTCAGACGATGAAGACTCACAAGTACGCCACTTTTCTATAGTCATGATACAGAGAGCCTATTCTCAGTTTTCCAGTGTATTTAAATTAGTGCCGGGCCATATATTTAATATTCAAGTATTTTTGCAATGATTTCTTTGGCAATACAAAATTAAGCAACACTCTGAATATTACAGTGATTACATAGTATTATATATTAATAATTTTAACTTCGTATAGTATATTAGTAAATATCCTAAAGATTTAGTAGACTGGTTTTGTAGTCACTTCTTGTCTCATGAATTAAAAGTATTAATGTTTAGTATGAAGACATTTTGCAGGCAAAAAAAGGTTTGATTCGTTTCTGTTTATGAAAATTATTATTCAAATTGATAACAAGACGTTTTAGGGTGTTAATGTGAGATAAATATTATAGGGATAGTTCACCCAAAAATGAAAATTTTGCCATCACTTACTCACCTTCATGTTGTTTCAAACCTGTATGAGTTTCTTTCTTATGTTGAACATAAAAGAAGATATTTTGAAGAATGCTGGTAATCAAACAGCTGATGGTCCCCATTGACTTCCATAGTATTTCTTTCCCTACTATTGAAGTCAGTGGGGACCAACAACTGTTTGGTTCTTCAAAATTCATCAAAATTCAAAAACAGTTGTGGAACGACATGAGGGTGAGTAAATGATGACACAGTTATTGATTTTTGGGTGAACTATTCATTCCTTTAAAATATATATCTTGACAATATTCAAAATATTTGTTTTAGTTACATCACTCAACCTCAATTACAAACTGACTCCTGATACTTGTCCTTGATGTATTTGCTGTTCTGGTTCTCGCTTGTTTTAAAGCTATTCGCAAGTGAGACTGCAAGTAAATCAAAGCCGGCAACTCGGAACAAACCCAGTAAAGCTCTGCTCTCAATATTTGATGATGAAGAAGAAGAGGTGATGTTAAGCAAGCTTAATTTAAAGAGATAGTAATCTAGATATACTTTATTCTATTCAGTGGTTTTCAACAAGTCTGTTTTGACTTTTTTAGGACCTTTTTTCATCAACACCAAAGTCCAAGTCAGATCAGGTCAAAAAGACATCTCTACAACCCAAGAAACCTGTATCCAGTTCACTCTTCAGCGATGATGAGGTATTTGTGTGTGTGTGTAATGCAGAGTAAACCAATTACAGTCAATACAATTGTAAAAAATACAGTACAGAGTAATATGTTGCAATACAAAACGGTTATATGAAATTGTCTGTAACACTTTAGTATCGGGACCAATTCTCACTATTACCTAGTTCCTTGTTAGCATGCCTATCATTAACATATTGGCTGTTTATTAGTACTTATAAAGCACATATTCTGTATGATCATATTCTACATCCCTAATCCTACCCAATACCTAAACTTAACTTAACTTCCTTACTAACTATTAGTAACCAGCAAATTAGGAGTTTATTGAGGCAAAAGTCATAGTTAATGGTTTGTTAATAGCCAGAATTGGACCTTAAAATAAAGTGTGACAAAATTGTCATTTTATTTTGATAGCATTTTTATTTGTTCAATCGTTGATGCATGCTGATATCACATGACATGGCACAACATTTGCTTGTCTGTATATCAGGATCAGTGGATGAGCTCCAAGCCCAGCAGAGAGAGCCCGGAAGTGAAGTCCAGCGGGATGAAGTCGAGTGTTAGCGCCCCCTCTAGGCTACCCAGTGTCAAAGCACCACAAAAAGACGGCCTGTTTGATGATGACGATGATTTGTTTGCAGCCACAAATGAGTCAAGGTTTGTGGATCGGTGATCAGTTAATGTACTTAAGTAGTGAGAGAAACAATAAATCATTATGCTGTAAAATTTTGTTGTCTGTCCTCGCAGTAAGAAGTCATCTCAGAGAGTATCTCTCCTGTTTGAGAATGAAGATGATGATGATGAGGACAAAGAACGTCTTTTTGGCTTTAAAACACCTGCAAATAAAGCTCCTTCTGAAGCGAAGGTAAGTGTGGCTTGAGTGTCCATATACTTTTTGGGCTACTTTACAGAATTTTGATCTTTGAGATTTTTAATGCTTTTGAAAGAAGTCTTATATGCTCACCAAAGGCTGCATTTCACAGTAATATTGTGAAATATTATTACAATTGAATATACTGTATATATATATATATATATATATATAAAAATCTGTTTTAATATATTAAAAAATTTAATTTATTCGGCATCATTACTCCAGTTTTTAGTCTCACATGATCCTTCAGAAATCATTCTAATATGACGATTTGCTAGAAACATTTCTGATTATTATCAGTTGAAAACAGTTGTTCTTCTTATTATTTTGGCGGAAATTGTGATTTTCTCCACCCCTTTGATTTGTTGATGGAAATAAAAAGTTCAAAAGAACAGCATTTATTTGAAATCTTATATCATTAAACATGTTTTTACTGACACTTTTGATCAATTTTAATGTGTTCTTGCTAAATAATGTAGCGAATCAGCTCATGGGGATATATGAATAATTAATCATAACTAGTTATAATTAATCATAAATATTTAGATCCGCTGTAGATATTTACTTGACCTCTCAGGGTCAACTGTCTGTCAATTCTAAGAACGTTAATTTCCTGGTTAAGGGAAATAACTTTCTTACTGTATGTATTCCTTTGAGCAATAAAACCAGTGTTATCAGCCGTGGTTGCCATGGAACCTGGTGTCTTTCTGAGGTGTTAAGACGCATTTCGGGGGAAGGGTCCATAGGTCCTCATATGGCTTGTTAACTGAGGGGTGTTACAGAGTATTTGTTAAATATAGCTAACAAAATATATATTGTGTGTTTGATTGGTCCAGACGCTACAATAAAGTATTCATTTCTTAAAAAAAAAAAAATCTTACAGGCCCAAAACTTTTGAGGGGTAGTGTTAGTGTATGTTTCCAATCATTCATTATAAATTATTTGATATATACTTTTTTTTTGCGTAGCATCTACATTAATGCAGTCAATTTTTATTTACTGTGTTTTTAATAGTAGCTAAAAATAGCATTGTGTTTCTGGTGCTCCCTCTCTGTTTGAATCTACGGAGGAGGAGAATGCACCTAATGTAGCAAAAGACAAAATAGCAGAGGAGAAGAAGCCCGTGGAATCCATTCCACCCTCTGAAGACAGCACTGACAGTAAGAAGAAGCCAGTAGGAGCAGTAAGCCTTTTTGGTGGGATTGATGTATTAGCAGACAAGCAAGACACAAGTAAAGTGAGTAAAATGTTTTTAAAAAATGATGCTATTTACATATAGCATAAAATGGGCAATTAACATAGACAATTATGGTTTACACCTAAATAAAAAAGGGTTAGAGAAATGGGGATTGTCTATTCCACAGAAACATACTAAGAATCAAGAAGAGATTGCTGATGGTGACAAGCTGCAAAAGGAGGGCCCTCCACCCATGGAGAGTAAGGGGACCAAGGCCAAGAAAACAGCACTGAGTCTTTTTGATAATGATGATGATGATGACAGTGATGATGAAGATATGAACACTGATGAAATAATTCCTGCCCCTAAAACACCCAAATCCACAGAAAAGAATGCACTAAAGGTTAGTTGTTTTTAGATTTTCAGTGCTGTGAGGTATGAATTTGTATGACTTTAAGTAGGTTATTTAATGTTATTTATTGATTTTGATTGTGATCTCAGGATCATGGGCCCCAAATGAAGAGCACTGGTGTGTTCCAAGATGAGGAACTACTTTTCAGTCACACGCAACAGAGGGACAACGATCCTGATGTAGACCTTTTTGCCACTTCTCCTAAACCATCTGTAAGTCTATGCTATGATGAACTATTTAGTAATTCTGTCTACACAGCTTTTAGACTTTGCCTCCTTAGACTTTTCCTCTTCATGGTGACACAGAGGTTACTTACTGGTGGAGGTATTTTCATTTTATAGGTGCCGTCTCCGAGCTCTGTAAAACCAGTTGTCCCCACACTGTTCGGGGATGATGAAGACAATGACCTCTTCAGTTCAGCAAAGCCTAAAGCTCCTCCGGTACCGTTTGTTTCCCAACTTGTACACGTTTTGTTTTTGTTTTTTTATACTTCATAAAAGCTAAATACTTGTACTATATTATCCACATACAGAAAGTACCTGAGAAGCCCAGCAAGCCTAAAACAAATGAAATGGACAAATCAACACTGACCTCAAGCAAGGTATACTCAGAAATAAATCTGCTTTGTTGCTTTAATTCATCTTTATACAACAGAATATTTTTCCTAAAACCATTGTTTACATGTAGAAAATAGAGATTAAAATATTTAAAATTAAACATTTTATTTTATTTTATTTACCACATATAAAACATTATTTGTGACATTTCCAGAACCTGTTAAAATGGTTATTGGTTTTTATTGTTTGACTTGTATATAATTCATATTATTTAATCGCACAGGAACCTACAAGCCCTCTAAAATCTAAAAAAACCTCCTCAAGGATTGGAGAACTTCAAGTAATGTTTTTAAAAAATAAAATCTCTATACTTCTATTTCTTTCATTGTGAAAACAGTGTTTTCTATATTTCTCTCTGTTTTTGACTTGGCCCTCTTGGCATGATCTTTCTCAGAAGTCAAAGAAAAGCTACAGTCTTGCTTTTCATTGAGCTGTTTTATGACTCCACAATGCCTGTCAACGATCTGTTAAAAATCTATATGTCTGCAAACCATATATATATATATACACTGTGTGCACAATTATTAGGCAAGTTGTATTTTTGAGGATTAATTTAGTTATTGTACAACTACAGTGCTCTTTCTCTCTATGCCAATGCTGTAAGTGTAAACCATTACTGCACCAATAGGAAACCACTTGATGCAGCGGTCTGCAGCTAGCAATGTGCTGTTTACAGTGTTTGCAAGGCAGCCGTGTATTTATATTTACCACATAACCAACAATTATGACATTGACCTAAAATCGGCATACTGAATTGTGATTTCTTTCTTGCATTCATTTAAACAGGCATCTTGACTTATTGACACAGACCTAAAACCTAGATTTTACCCTATTCACTATTCTGTTGCTGCCTTGCATACATGACCATGTCCTGCAAGAAATGCAAATCTAGTGTACTTTTAAAGGGGTCATATGATGCGATTTCAAGTTTTCCTTTCTCTTTGGAGTGTTACAAGCTACAAACCAGTCTTTCTCTGATCTTGGCATGTGAGCAATAGGCACTGGGTGTATTGATTTTAAGTTTTGTCACAGATTTAAAGACCTGTCTGTTTCTTTCAGACTAGCTTAGTTGTCAACCCTGCCAGCCTTCTGCCAGGCGCAGTGCTACGGATTCCAGGAGCTGTCAGCGTAATCCCTGGCCTGGTGCCCACTTCCCTCCCTGCAGCTGCCAAGCCGCTGCCAGCTACCGATACGATCCCTGATCATCAGCCCTCCAGTGAGGGAGGGGTGAGCTTCGACTCGGCCGCTCAGGTCAGCACGCTACAGAATGCTAACAAGGTAGGTCAGACTGCAGTATGTATGTTTTTGCTTCTATTGTCCTCATTTGTAAATCACTTTGGATAAAAGCATCTGTTAAATGACTAAATGTAAATGTAATGTTTTATAGGTGTCACGAAATATTGGTTGTGTGCCATTGCAATGAAAACTGCTGCTGTTGATATAGTGTAGTGTTAATTTAACATTCTGCTCTTTTCAGTTGACACAAAGTCTGGAATTTTAGGTCACACTTTATTTTAACGTCCAATTCTCGCTATTAACAAACCAGTAACTACGAATTTTGCCTCAATAAACTTCTAATATGCTGCTTATTAATAGTTAGTAAGGTAGTTGTTAAAGTGCCCCTATTATTGGTTATGAACGGTTCATAGTTTGGTTTTGGGAGTCCCCAACAACAGGATGACATGCATGCAAGGTCAAAAAACACTTTCATTGTCTTATAATATGCATTTATTTTTTACCTTATTTGCTCAACGATTCCCAAACAATCAAGTTCAAGTTTTCCTGGGTCTGCGCCCGCAACAAGTGGGCGGGCAATATGTTAATGTTTCATGTTGATGTCAACATGAAACGGCTTGGGATTCATTTTAAAAACGACTCGTTTCAATGATTCAGAGTCGACTCTTTCTTTTGAGAGACAATAACTTTATACACGGTGCACTTTCAGATTTAAAACTTTGCAGGATGTTTTCATTCACTTAGAGCTGCTGTGTTACACACTGCATGAAAGGTAATTTTCAAAAATCCATAATAGGGGCACTTTAAGTTTAGGTATTGGGTTGGATTAGGGATGTTGAATATGTTCATGTGCTTTAGAAGTACTAATAAACAGTTAATAATAGGCATGCTAATAAGCAACTAGTTAATAGTGAGAACTGATCCCTATACTAAAGTGTTACCATAGACTTTAGTCATATTTTAGTCATGCTGCATAATGGTTTAACTGATAATAAAAATTATTTTGCTCAAAATTATAATCGTGATTACTGTTCATGATTGTTGTCTTTTGAGAAACTACATCAGAATTATTGCACTTTCACCTATAAGCAGAAATCAAGAAAATATCAACTCATATACATGGTTTATTCATTTAGTTTCCCGATTAATTAATCAATTTATTATTAATTAAATTTAAATGAAAATGGGTAAAACCTTTTCTCAAAAGCTTATAAAGTGAATTTTTTTATATTAATTCATTTAATTCCAAATTATAATCATGTTTTTATATTAAAACATACAAAAATTACTCTGTATTGTGGCAGAGAGGTTGTGTAAGTGCATTTATTCAGGAATATTTATATAGGTTATAGAAATATATTCAGGATATTTCTATAGGTTTATATATTTTTTCTCTTATATATTTTTGTTTGAAGACAATATAGACAGATTTTGGATATAGAGACATTTTATTTTTAAATTTTTACAGTTTTTACTACATTTTAATCTCATCTTTTTTTGTCATGTTGATATACTGTAGTCTCAGCTAGTGTTTAATGATGTTGGTGTCGTGTCTCTCGTCTCGTCTTGTCTTAGTCATGGAAAAAAGTTGTTGGTGAATATTTTTCTTTATAGTTTTCATTAACAAAATGAACACTAGCAGAATGCCCAGTCAATGGCTTTTTTCTGCTGCAGGGTCGGGCTAAAGGCGCAGTGCGACGGCGACCGCAGACAAGGGCAGCAAGACAACTTGCAGCACAGCAATCTGAGGAAGCTGTTGGAGAAAGCACCTCTATACAAGCTGATGAGCCAGTTATGGCTGCTTCTCTCCCTACCTTTAACCCCGTTTCAGTGCGACCCTCAGCGCTCACTATACCTGTCAGCACCCCTGCTCCTGCCAAGAGCCCCGATGAAGCAGTCAGGCCAAAGAGATTTCTCGATTCTGGAGATGATCTGTTTGATTCAGATCTCTTTGCCACAAAGCCTGTTCCCTCCTCAAAACACAAAGCAAAGACCCCTGAGGAAGGCCATAAGAAAGCCTCCAAGACAGAGGCCGTCATAGCTTCAAAGAAAGACCAGGCCTCGTCTATTTTTGACAGCCATGAGGATGATCTTTTTGCCACAGTGAAACAGAAGAATGTCCAGAAAGGCAAACAAATGTCCTTCCTAGAAGATGATGATGATGATATTTTTGGAGCAGGAAAGAGTAAAAGTGCAGATAGTAAAAACTCCAAAGCAGAAGCCAGCTCTGCAAAACCAGACATTTTCCAGGTAAATATCACACATTCTTTAAGTTTGGTATTACAGATCTGTGGGGTAGTAGGAAGTGGTATGACTGATTTTTGTTTCCCTATTGACCATAAAATAAATGTTTACAGGATGACGTGAAAGAACCTCCCAAGGCCCAGAAGAAGCCCGAGGAAGTGTCATTGGATGCAAGTTTGTTTGATGATGATGTTGATATTTTTGCTGACTTGACTGGCACCACAAAGCCAAAGGAGAAGAAAGCAAAGAAGAAATTGGAGACAAAATCTATATTCGACGATGACATGGGTTAGTTATCGCTGCAAAACACTCTTCACTATGATTCTTACCAGTGGCCTCATTATAAAACTGTGTAAATTTCATCCTAGAAGTGATAAATACAGATTTTGCTTATGCACAAAAGTGTTTGGATTTGTAAAAACAGGTATGCCAGAGCCTGTGCAAAGTTACCCAGTCAGCGAATAATTTTGCTTACATGCATTGGTGCCTAGTCTCCTCCCCAAAATAACCATATATGGAGACTACGACGCCTCGTTTTTCTATGCATAACCTCGCCTGCATATAATTTCCATATGCATATTACCATCCATGTGATGCTGCCATGTTTAACGGAACAAGACTCTAGGAAAACATGATATGGACTGTAAATCTTGTTTGTTGTCACATTACATAAAATTCATTCACAATTATACTTTGTTTGAACAAAAGAAACGAACAAACAAAAACAAATATATAAAAATAAATATTTTAATTGTTTTAAACAAACCAAATTTGTGCAGATTTGCCTATAAAGTAAACATATACAGCATTTTTTACATAAAAAAAAAAAAAAAAAATTCCAGCTTAACCGTTGGCTGTTGCTACAAATATACCCGTGTTACTTATAACTGGTTTTGTGGTCCAGGGTCACATATATGGTATTTTTCATAATGTTGGGAAGACCTGTCTGTCTATGAGTTCTTCATTAATGGGAGTTTAAAATAATTCTGTTTACTTCACTCACATCAGTAAATGAGTCTATAGTGATTTGATGAAGTTTATTTTCTTAATAAATCCTGAAATGTGCCTGGAAATTTGTCTATGCATGAAATGGGCATTGAAATGTCCATACACCATTTTTCACACATGCATATCATGATTTATATACATGAGGCCCCAGGTCATTTGAATTAATTTATGAACATTGGTTTAGAAGGTAAATGTGCTCAACAATAAAGACACACTCACAAATGCTTACTGGTATATGATTTTTGCTCTCACCTCACAGATGATATCTTCTCGACTGGGGCTACGAAACCAACAGTGAAGCCGTCCTCCAAATCTAAGAAGAACCAGCCTGCCCAGGATCCTGTATCATCTGTGGAAACGGGCAGCAATATTTTTGATGATCCCTTGAACGCGTTTGGGGGAAACTGAGTCTCCTACATAACAGCATTTTGTTTAACTTTGTAGCGATATTCATGGCCTAAATGAAGGTAGATGTAATCTAACACTGTTCATAATTTAAACTCTAATAGGTAACTTTAAAAAAAAAAAAATAGACAGGAAAAAAGAAGATTGTAAATCTATTTACCTCTAATGCCATCTGTGAAGTCATCTGCTTGGTAAAAAATGTAGCGGTCATCAAATGGCATTGACATTTGCAACGGTTATGTGTCTTTTATTAGCACTTTAAACATGAAAATTGTCTGGTAAGGTAAAAAAAAAAAAGAAAAGAGTTGATTAAGACTGGAGACATTCCTCTGACATTGTCAACTGTAACGTTTCTTTTTTCATTGTGGTGCCATAACTCTAAGCCTATGCGCCAACATAAGTGCTTTTGTTGTTGATGTTTTTATAACTCGAGCTGAAGTTTTCTTGTGTTGCATGTGAAATGATTTTTGGAAACTGAAGAAAATATATTTTATGAAACGTACTGAATGAGTCTGAGTGCTTGAATTCAAAATTTGTAGAGGACCAAACCATTGCTAATCATTTAGTGTTGAAAATGTAAAATCTTTAAACCTTTCAATGTTATGCACTGAAAATGCAACCAGATACAGTCACAAATTGTTGTTTGACGCTGCCAGGGTGACCGGGGTAACATCCGGGGGATGGAAAGGGGAGTCGAGAGAAAGGTCCCGCCCACTCTGCTTTTCCATTGGACGAGTGGTTCTCTTTTTCTCCAACGGCTAATGTCATTCGTTCTCCTCACTGTCAATTAAGAACATCACGATAGGCTGCCTCCTTTTCAGATTTTTGTATTCTGTTTTAATGGGGCCTTTGAGCCGCATAACATCGAAACAAAAGCAGTTGTCCGTAGCTCGAAAAAATACGGAAACTTATTGGCGTGCAGAAACGGTAAAGATGCTGTAGGAATTTGAAAGCATCAGCGGCATCCGCGAGTAGTTCGACGGGCTGCTTGTGCCGTTTTGCTAAACCAGCTAGCCGCTACAATACAATTAAAACACATTTTATTGCAAGTTTCTGTCAGATAACAGTTCAGAGACTGGGGAATCGGTCGCTTTTACTTTTTGGGGTAACTACCTAGTTTTTGGGGTGTGTTGTGGCTGGGACATCAGCCAGGACTCTGATCCAGCTGTCCCTCCCTGCAGATCTCCTCTGATGCAGTCAAGGTAAGATGACAAATAGGTGTAACTGTTCATGAACGACTATTTTAAAAGTCAAAGAACCTAGCTAGTCGACTGGACTTTTGGACACTTCACATATTAGTCGACTTTTGGGAAAATAAGTTGGAAAAGCGTCGTTTGTAGCTTTAAAACGCTTTTGTGTTGTTTAGACTAATTGTAAATAAACATTCTGATAACACAACATCCATTAACTTTCAGCACAACCCAGATCAGCGTTGATCAACAGAAGAGATGGATAGATAATTATTATTATAAATTATTATTATTATTAATAAGTAATAGTATAAATAAGTATACGTATTAATAAGTATTATTTATCATAAATATGTAGTAATAAGCAGAGTAATTTTTAGCATGGCCTCTTCAATGTACTAAACAAGTTTAATTCATTCATATATAT